CTCACGGAACTAAGCCCCACACATAAGCCCATGGGCGTTTTACGAGTGATCCGCCCCGGGGCGAGTCCCAATTCTGCCTTTTAAAACAGAGGATCGTACAACTCACTTTACATTTGATATACCTCTTCAAATAACTGAAATAATCATCACAAATATATCAAAGCAGGACAATAGTGCTTAATTTATAAGGAAACCAAAAGTGCTAATAAGGGATGAAACGCTTTTGGCTAAGCATCAAACGATCGAAACAATTGCCCAGAGTTTTAGAGATATATGAGATATCAATGAACCGTTTGGTGGAAAATTAATAGTTTGGAAGGTGATTTCTGTCAAGTATTATCAGTAGTTTCAAAATTGACGAAAGCAAAAACTATAAAAGTTAGCTTGCCAAAATTATACTTATGGCCTCAATAGGAAAATATTCAAATGACAAGAAATATAAAAGTAAGAACATATCCAATATTCAATGACTCTTGCTACGTGTTGGAAACGAAGAAGAGCATCCAGTAAAAGATGATTTGTAGAACGCTTGGTTATCAACCCCAATGGTAATAGTAGTGCATTTAGTAAAAAAAAATATTAGATTAAAACGCAATTTGTGCAAATTACATGATAGAAATTAAAGAGCTATCTTAGCTAGCAGAAATGAATATGTTGATCAACTAAATAAAAGATTGATTGCTAAGTTTTATGATAAAAACAAAATATTTTTCAGTTTTGACTCACCAGAAAATGATACTAATAATTACTACCAAAAAGAATACTTAAATACTTTAATACCAAATGGCCCTCAACCGTACATGTTTGTTGTCAAGTCATTATTTCTTACGTATGTTAGTGCCAACATATATAATATAAAATAAGTAAAAATTTATCTTCCATTGCATAGGTTGATTTTGAAGAAAAATATGTCCGTCGTACTACTGAAAATTTAGATCAGCATAATAGCTTATGCAATAGTACACATATGGTATGTAGAAGTTTTGAGTTCCCGAATTCAGCTTTCGTTTTCTGAAACTAAAGAATATCCTTTTAAATTTTTGTGAAAATAATTTTCAATATGTTTATATTTTGTAGTTATATTAAATAAAGTACAAGGACGAACATCATAAATATTGGACTATATTTACGACAATATATTTTCTTACACGAGTAACTATATATTGCAACTTTAAGAGAGATATCAATATCGACAACAAGAGTTCTGGTTATGGCAGAGCAACCAAAGTATTAGAAGGAAACATACACAAAAAAATATCGTCTATAAAGAAGTGTTCGGTAAGATACCATCACACTAGATATCTTTAGACTACAATAGATAATTATCTACTTAACATGACTAAAATTGATCATTTGTGCAAGTTGTAATGATGTCCTTTCATTTGAATTCACGTACTAGGCTAATGTAATAATATTTTTCGGTATTTAGATGATTTTTGTATTATTATATATAAAAATTTTCTCATTAAGTAAAATTTATTATTCCTTCATATAAATAAATATTTAAACCATCATATGTCATTATTAACGTGCAACGCACGTTTATAGATACTAGTACTTTTAAATGGTGATACAGTTTCAAAGTCTCTTCTTGGCATGGATATTCCTACATACTGTAGATGGAATATAATTTTGAATGTTAACTTATTAGGGGGTCGTTTGGTATGTGGGATAACGGATAATAATTTCAAAATTAGTTCGGGATAATTTCTTTTTGTTGTGTTTTGTTGAATTTTTGAACCCGAGATTGGCAATCTCGGGATTAGTAAATCTCATAATTGGATATTATTTATCCCATATTGAGGGTGCGATACTAATTCCGTAATTAATTAATCTCGAAAGAAATACTAAAATATCAAAGATGTCCTTCTCTACGGCTCTTCCCCCAATGCCTTTCAGACAATCCAAGATTAAAATTAAAAATAAAAATTTATCCCAACTTATCGAGTATACACCTAGTACATATTTATATTATACAGTGTATATCACATTTTTAGTACAATGAACTAAACATCTTCTATTAAAAATATATTCATTATAAATTATGTCATTATTTAATTCATGTATCATTATAATCCCAAAATAACTTGTTCCCCTGCCAAACGACCCCTAAGAGCTTTAATTAACACATTATGGGTGTGTTTGGTATGAAATGTTTTCAAAAATTTTCATGTTTGGTTAGTTTAAATGTTTTGGAAAATATTTTCCTCCTATTGGAGGAAAATGTTTTTCCTATCAAGAGAAGGAAAAATATTTTCCAAAACTCTTATTCAACCTTCCCCACTTTATTCTCCATCCCCACTAACCCCCCACAAACCCACCTCAACCCCACCTACCCGCGCC